TGATGCAGCAAGTAAGTGAGGAGTTATTTTCTTGGCATGTAACTGAGATTTTTTACTTAACACCTAAACCTGTACATAGCGAGGAGATCGTGGCCCACTTGTTCAAAGCATTACCAACAGTAGTGCTTCAGGACTTAACTGCAGGAGAGTTCAGCAGATATAAAGAAAGTCAACACAACTAGGGGACCTGCTGGAAATTTCTAGAATTGCTGCATTAGAGGAAATGAAAAGTAACAACAAAGAACTTAGAAAAAAGCAGGAGGATTCTTGAATGACCACTGAAAATGTTCTGATGTATGTTTCCAGGTCTGCAGCCTGCTGCAAGACATTCTACAACGAGTCCTCCAGGCTTGGAGAACAATGCTTCCAAAACATCGTCAAAAGAGCCTATGAAATGCTTCAAGAGAAGCAAGGTAAAAGAAACAAGACAAAACGAGCTATTGAAAATGTGAGAGGGTGAGAAGAACAGATTGTTCTAGCTACAGCTATTGCTACTTTCTCACTGCTAACCTTGTGAAAATTACCTGCTTTGAGACCACTCATATTTAGGGCAAGGAAACAAGACTAATAGAAATATTCTGTTGTAGAACTGCAAACAAAACCACTGTCTGCACTAGGAACAGAGTAACACAGCCATACCCATGTGAATGGTTATGCCTCGGCACTCTGCCCACCTAAGTGCCAGTTCCTCTTGGAAAAAGTTGCTCGAGTGGAGTCTGAATTCCTGTATGGGACAGAATCTACTCATCACCACTCTCCTCTTGTTGTGGCCCTCGTTAACTATCCTCATGAGCAATTGTACTTCGGAATGTTACGGTTGAGCAGAAAAGCTTTTGAGGAAAAGAGCAAGAATAATACAAACTGGAGGCACTCAGGCTGGCTAGAAAAAAGCCAGAGACAAAGTGAATGGCAGAAGTCGGCATTCAGTCTCAGCTGCTTGGCATGATACTTCTTATGAGATGTGATACATGTATATTTATCAGTGAATTCCCTTTAATCACAGTAGCTGATTTACTGCTTGCTACATTTTTTCCCAAAAGCCTTCTTTTCCTTTTTTTTTCTTTTTCCTACAGAGCTTGAAAATACTGAAAAATGTGAAAAAGAGTAAGTCTTTCAGGCTAATGTGCATCTTCCTGATGGCTTTAAGCAAGTATATAAAGAAATATGTGGCATTGAATTTTCAAGAACCTGAACTCGTCAAATGTGAAACGCCCTGCACGTCTGCCTACTTTGGAGTAGGACATAGAAAGCTGTGCTGGCTAGCTGAGTACCATCATCTCATCTGGATAGTAATAGTTGTTTTAGGAGTATCACAAGGATGCTGTGGTGCCCCTTTAATGACCTTTGGGTACCTTGGGGATAGCTCCAGTGTACCCAAACTACCAAATTCTTCAGGTCGTTCAAACCAGTGTTGCGGGACAAATACTCTAAGAATGGGGGATAGGGGTGCTGTGGGGAATGTGAGCCCTGTCCTGGATTCTGCGCAGTCTATTTGGAGCACAAATAAGGAGTTTCTCATTAAGTTCCCTTTGATCTAAAATTAAAATGCTTATCTTGAAAATAGGACTGCTAAAAACTGTTTAAAGCACTTCTGAGCAAACATTGTCCCAGAGGATTGTGCTGCAGTAGTACGCTTGCTCCCTGCTATGAGCAAATAATGTTGTTAAAACTGTGATGCATTCAAGCTCTGCTAGTGTGGAAAGTAGTTAACTTTGTCTTGTGCTGAAATAGCATCCGTGCCTAGTCTCATCATGCATGTGGCAGTACGTGTTTTCCCATAGGTGTGTCCGGGTCCAGCTCTTCAGGGAATTATCCTAGTGACTAACTGCTTCAGCCTGATTTTTTATTTCTAGGCATCTGTAGTCCATCTTCACTGACAAAACCATCAGAATCTGCCCCGTTAAACCATTCGAGGTCTTTCCTTCACTTTGGTATGTTCTTCTCTTTGTGTTTTGGTGTAGGAAGTACCTGTTTTTTGAAAGTCTAAATGTAGGTACCAGGCTGAACGCTAACAAATAATGCTTATCATTTTTTACACATTTACAACTTTATTCATGAACTGTTTAAAGAACAGGTAAGGATGGAAAACACAAACCCTGAAACCTACTCTGACAAACGCTTCTCAGTGTGTGAAGAGTCTGAAGTGTGTATTTGGCTTTCCTGTATCTGAAAGCCTTTATGTGGCAACAGAGACAGCGGAAGACAAAGACAAAGCTGTAGCATTACCACTAGGTCGCTGCTTTATGTTGTGTAATATGGCAGAGGAGAAATAGCATGTTTTCTATTTTAAATTCTTCTACTAAAGAGTAGTCATTTATTAGATTAGGCAAAAAAAAATCTAGTTATCTTGATATTCATGTTATAATGACAGTGTTTGTCAGATAGACACATTGATAGACTGTTTTTGCACCAGCTGACTTACAACTACAGGATGTTGCTTTAAGTCTACCATATCTTAAAACTGGGGAAAGAATTGAAATTATGAGTATTTCAAATACCACATTAACTTGAGGAATTACAAAATCAACATCTGTAACATACAGAATTTGTTGCATTAAAAAAATTATTTCTTCCTAGGCTTTGCAAATCGATTTTCAAAACCTAAAGGACCAAGAAATCCACCACCAGCATGGAATATTTAGATACGTTTTATAGACTTGGCGCTACAGATTTGTGAAATCCTCCTGATACACCTTGAGTGCTCACCCCAGCAAGGTTTCCATCAAAATAAATACATCAAAAGCTGTTGCATGATATTTGCAGCTCAGGCACTACTTGCACATTCTTCACCAACTAAAGTTTTAAAGTAAAGTACCAGCAACTAAGCATTTTCAGTTAATTTACAACAGGATGGAAACTAAAAACGGGAATAGATCTTTTATCCTAAGGGGGGATATATTTTTGTTGTGTTTTGGAACACATTCACTTCAGAAGGATGGATTTGAACTTTCTGAAACAAAGCAGTGCAAACTGGTGATAGGATCTAGCGAAAACTATTGAATGATATGGAGGGCCAACGGTGCGGACCAAAGCAGAACAAGACTGTGGATCGTGCAGACCCAGCATCTGTGTAACTTCACTCACAGGTGTAGGTCTACCATAATCAAAGACGTGCACATCCTTAAACGTTTACATTACTTGGACTAAAAGAGAATTAGCTACTCAGACTTTAGAAATAATTTTCCTTTAAATTTTTTTTCATCTAAGCAAATCAGATAATTTGCCTAGGTTTTTGGTCAATAAGACTAAGATGGTGATTGCTCATATAGAAACTAAACTAGTGTAACAGACTGCAGAATTAGCTGACCCAACTGCCTTCGCTATCTGAAAAAAACCAAAACCCAAACAAAAACCACCACCACAGCAAGCAAAATATCATTGTATGTTTAAAGCAATGCTGTTTTCAAGGATGACTCTCCAGCACAAAATTTCAGACGGGTATCTCGGAAGATGAGATTTCTAGACAGAGTCCTCTGTTATTTATATCCTCAGTGGGGTGGGACAAAGATGTTGAGAACTGCTTGTATACGATTGTTTTCCTGTAGAGAGAGAAAACCAAAGTGGGATTTGGGGGATTTGGTCAAGAGAGGAATCTACTGACAACGACCCGAAGAGAACTCAAGCTAGTTTAAAGCTGCTCGTGCTGGAGCAGCGGCTAATATGGCCCAGAAGGAGCCTGCCTCACTTGTCACCGAAGTCACCTGCTTTCTCAGCAGCAGGAGCCAAGAGACGACCCTACCCATCTGCTGCAAGTCGCTTCTGCGTTGCACCGAACCCACCAACGCCAGTCGGCGAAGCGTGCCGGACGGAGGCCAGACGGACGGAGGCCGGAGGCAGGCCTCGACGCCTTCGCGCGGCCGGCTGCCATGTTGCGCCGCCCGAATCGCCCCGAGCGCTGCGAGGCCGGCCGACGGCCGCCTCCGTCCCCGGTTTGACGGCGCCGTTGCTCGGACAGTCGTACCGGAGCCCAGCGGTCGCGTGTTCAGCCGAGGAAGCGTTTTACGACGCGAGGGAAATGCCGTAAAAATAAAAGTTTTATTGATCGGCCTGCACGCCTGGCTGTACTGGCGGGTCCGCGCGGGTCGCCGTCTCCCCGCCGCCCGCTCCCCCCCCGCGATGACGCAGTCGCGGATCTGGGGTGACCCAGAGCTTTCCCGCGCCCCCGCCGGCCCACGTGACCCGCTCCCCGCGCCGCCC